GCCCCTCTGGCCAACACCAGTAGGCGGTAGGGATCGAACCGGCGACCTTCCGGTTACAGATGCGCTTCCGAACCCTCTGAGGGGGTCAAGGGGTCGGTTTAGTCCGCAAAGCCTTCAGGAATTAGTATTATATTATTATAATAGTGCAAGTTTTCATTAAATGGCATGACTGTGGTGGTGTGTAAAATGTTCATTAAGTATGAAAATGCTATAACTGTATATAAATACACATTTTCATTTGCCCCAGACTTTACATTGAAAAAGAAAATATTTTGAACACACTGATATGCTAATAGTCAGAAACAGTTAAAGCACCACTTATTGGGAATGGAATTATGAGTATGTCCACCTCAAAAGACGTCTCAATGAGATTCAAACCTTGATGACACTTCTGTGTGAAAACTGTGTGCTTGAGTAGCATGGAAGATCTTGTTCGGGGAGGAACTGCTTAAAAAGTCATGAAACTATATATAACATTGAGGAAAGCTACAAGTACCTGGGGATCCCACAGGCAAACAGGAACCCTGAAGAAGCCACTAGGAAAAATTGCAACCACCAAGTACCTGCAGAGGGTCAGGCAAGTCCTGAGGAGTCAGCTGAACGGTAAAAATAAGATCCGGGCTATCAACACCTACTCACTGCCTGTGGTCAGGTCCACTGCTGGGATAATAAGCTGACCAAAGGAGGAGATAGAAGCCACTGACATCAAGACAAGGAAGCTCCTTACCATGCATGGAGGGTTTCACCCCAAGTCCAGCACCCTGAGGCTTTACACTAAATGGAAGGAATATATTAGGAAGATGGCCCCAATCGACCGTATGTTGAGTGAATACCTCAGGAAGCAGAAACCCAAGAAAGAGGAGGAACCATCATGGAAGGACAAGCCCCTGCATGGTATGTAGCACCGGCAGATAGAGGAAGTGGCTGGCATCCAGGAATCCTACCAGTGGCTGGACAAAACTGGACTGAAGACAGCACAGGAACAAGCTCTGAGCACATGATACAGGCTGGGGTCTATCACACCAGTCAAGAACTGGGCAAGTGGCTCCAGCATATCTCAAGAACAACATCCGAGATCTCTGTCTAGAAGAGCACATTCTTAGGAACAGCAAAGATACTGGGCATGACCCTCAAGCTCCCAGGCTGGACATAGTAGTAATCATGATCAATGGTCTTCACAGAGAGTTGGGGAATGGCTGCAATCACAGCATTGTAAGATGGTGACAGATGTACCCTTAGGCCCCCCTCCTCGATTCAGAGATGGTCTTTCCCTTTTCACGTAAATGACCTCCTTGACTCCCCGCTCGATGTGTACATCCTCATGATTGAAAGAGTGTCCACTGGCCTGTAGGTGTAAATAGACTGCGGAGTCCTCGCCTGACGAATTCTTCATCGTACCATCAGCTTTGCTAGAGGTTGTTTGGTTTCCCTGGTGTATAAATCATCAGCGTACACTATATTACTCTATTTGTGTCGGGTGGTTTAAAAGCCACAGAGACGCGGTGTTTAGAAAAAATGCTTCTCAACTGTTCCGATACTCCTGACACATAAGGGTTTTCACTTAGGCAACAGTTGTCCTTCAATCCTGGATCGGGTGGAGCTTTCTTTCCATTGATCAGTGATCTTTGATCAATGAGCTTCGATCAGTGGGATTTGATCAGTGGAGTTAATCAATAGTCATGAGAATTAATGATCAAGGAACTGACCTCCCAGCCCATTGTTCATTCAGTGGTGCTAGTTTCAGTCATTCTGCAAATGTACTGCTTATAAGGTTGGGGAGACTTGCAGTCAGCTGAGACTTAAGAAGTCACCTGGATGAGTGACGATAATTTTTAATCCTACAACTGTTTATAACTTGCATAGTTAACATTTCTGTATAACTGTATATGTCAGATTTCTGTATATTTTTTTTATTTCATATTTATATCCTGTTCATAGCCTGTACATAGCTTGTACTCACTACAGCCTGTACATACTTATAGTTATAGAATATTCATAACATACTTCATACCGTGTACATTATAACATACCATAATAGACCCATTTCTGTAACATACTTACATATCTATATTATTGCTAATATATATTGTATAATATATCTATATCACTAAAGCACTTCTGGATGGATGCAAACTGCATTTCGTTGCCCTGTACCTGTGCATGTGCAATGACAATAAAGTTGAATTCTATTCTATTCTAAATGTTTCTTCCACTGAAAACTCTACGTCCAGATGAACAGAATCAACCTTTTGGGATCCTCAGAAAGATGGTCATCCATATGCTGTTTTGTGTCCTCTGCTTCATCTTCAGCAAAGATATTATCCAGAGATTGTAAATCCCATTGGTCCTTGGGTTCTGGAAATGGGCCTACTTCTGTGAATGGCTGGTATATTTCTACCAATTTGTTTTGTTTCTTTAAGAAAAAAAAAATGAGGTTCTGGTGCAAAAGGTATTGCAGTACTGGGTTGACCGTTAATTGAAATGTATAGAAGATACATTGTTGCTCAGAGACAAACATTTGAACAATAAATCCAACAGGGCTCTCAGAGTTCTCAAGGACTCTTGAGCTGTCACCACCACCACGAGTCTGATACTGAAGCAAAGAAGGTCAAACCTGATTACATATATACTAGGGGTGCAACGATACTCGTATCGATATTGAACTGTTCGATACAGTGCTTTCGGTTCGGTACGCATATGTATCGAACAATACAAAATTTTTAATTTATTTTATCA